AGTTATTGTAAATTGGAAGAAATTGCAAATTGGTAGAAATGATTAGTAACGGTGGTGGGAGAATGATAAAACCATGAATGTAGTTATAGTGGTGGTAGCTAGTGGTGGTAGCTTGAACTAAAAACTGGTTGTTGGTGTTTTGTTTTATTTTTGTTTTATTTTGTTATATGTATTAATTTATTTTGGTATAAATCCTGATAATAGGTATTCTATGTAAAATTATGGTAGTTGAAGATTGCTATAATTTTTAATTTTTAATTACAAAATTATTATTGTTATATTAAAGCTGCCTGGTAATAGGTGTTTGTTCTCATGGTTACATATGGAAATTATATCTGATCATATTGTTTTAAAGTATTAAATATGCTGGGGAGTAATAAAAGATTGTAGTGGATTATATGTTAATAGTGGGTGTGATGTGTAAGTGATGGTGCTGTGTGTAGGTGGTAATGATAATATTGATAGTTAATAGATATTGTAGGGTGGTAAAAGTGATTACTAATGGTGGTGCAATTATAATAATGATAGGTGCAATTATTTTGATGGTATCTTGAAATTAAATTGTGATTGTTTGTGGTTTGTCTGTTTTATCCGTTTGGTATGAATTCGGATAATAGATACTTGTTCTCATGCCTACATTTGCCTTTATATATATAAAGAGAGAGAGATAGAGAGAGAGAAATCATCTAAATAAAGAGATATGATCAACCATAGATGTGAACGATTACGTAGACACCAACAGGTGAGTAAATAACTATTTATTTAATCAATGGATGCAGGTAAAACAGTGCTCGTTGTAGTTAAACAGAGTTATAAAATATATATTAAAACCGTCTGAAAAGCTCTCAAATCCGATACTTATGACGCATCCTCGCCATCACATGGAGAGACAAATTTACAACACTGCTGGGCTGGAGCAAGCACACTCCTAAAACATGCATAATCTCCTTTGCCAACGTCATCTTTGCTGGCTGGGTCACGTACATCGTATGAATGACGGCCGTATGCCAAATCATGTATGGTGAGCTGATCACGGAACACCGTCCGGTAGGCTGCCCGACATTACGTTTCAAGGACGTTTGTAAGAAGAACCTGAAAAGCACAGGCATTGACTATGCTAACTGTTCCCAGCTAGCAGACGATCACAGCTGCTGGTAACATACTGTTCACTGGGGAGTCACAAATGCCAAGAAAAGGCGAAACCAACTGTTGGATATAAGAAGAGAAGGGAAGAAGAGAGAGAGAGAGAGATCAATGTCAGACCGCCATTCCAGATTATAGCTGCGTCTGTCACACCTGCGGAAGAGAGTGTCATGCAAGGATTGGTCTAATAAACCACTCCAAACACTGTTCGCAAAAGGACAATGTGTGATCAAAGAGAGCGGTACCATTATCTCGGGAGATGAATGGATGACTATTATTGCTATTATCACTGATGACAAGTTTGATTAACACACGCTGATGTGTGTGATTTCTTTCCGATGTATTCAGTTGAGAATTTAAAAAAAAAAAAAAATATTTTAAATGTATTTCTTCTCCAGGGGAAAGAAACAATTACCTCGTTCTACAGACCTTCCATAGTTTAAAATGATGAAAACGTTATCATCAACAAAAGGACACAAAATTCAAGAAATAATGTGTTTAATCACTGTTTATGTATTTTATGCATGAGAAAGTGTGCGTGAATAAGTGAGAACAAAACCAAGCAAACAAACTTTTTACGTTACGTTATTAAGGCGTAAATTAGTTGTGCTATTGAGAAAGCCAAACGGGCCGCATGCTTCACGCGAGCCGTATGCGTCACGCGGGCCGCATGCGTCACGCGGGCCGCATGCGTCACGCGGGCCGCATGCGTCACGCGGGCCCCATGCGTCTCGCATGCACGGTGGAGTAGTCGATAGCGGCTCGGATTGTGGAATCGGAGAGCTGAGTTCGAATTCCAGTGACGTGCTAATAACTGAGTTCGAATTCCTTGACGTGCTAATAACCTTGGGAAAAGTATTAATCCTCTTCTTCTCCCTCCAGTTATGGTTAAATAGCAGGACAGACTGGGTTCTATAGCCTTGGATGGGAATGAGTCTAGGAAAAGAAAAACTCTGAATTCTGCGGAGGGTCTTTTGGGGACCCTTCAAAATGTATGGTTGTCTCTACGCAAAGCCTTCACCACTATAATCAAATCATATCTGCTTGTGTATGGCTGTTGGTTCCTAGGAACTGAGCTGTTGACCTCATACGTCGAATACGACTGGTGAGTCCACCACACACACACACACACACACACATATATATATATATATATATATATATATATATATATATATATATATGAAAGTAAACGACTTTCGGTAATATAACCGTCAAAATAGACAGCCCACAATGCACCACTGACCCGTATATATAAATAACCGAGAAAAATAACAGCACTCGTAGCCTGAAGATTGCGTCTAGCATGAAACAGACTGTCGCCTCTAGGTGTTGACTTCTATGTTAACTTTTATAT